CTCAGAACACCCCTCCTGCCTCTCTCCCAGGGTCCCCTCAACTGTCCTAGATGCTCAGGACTTTAAACCAAGTTCTCCAGGCAGTTTTCAGACACATTAGAGAGGACCCTGCTTTAAGGGTCTCCATGTCATTCACACCTGGCCCTGCCCCCGACTTCCCAGTCACGACTGCGTTGGGATGAAGTGTGGGGAGCACCCAGCTTTAACTTATTTATCCGAGACGTTAATTTTAACTTTTCTCTGTTAAGACTTTTCTTTTTGTCAGTCAGAAAAGCTGCTAAATCTAGTGCAGACCCTAGAGAGCCCAGTGCCTGCCAGCAGCGACATCCTTCCAGCTTGTTGGTATGAAAAGGAAGAAAGACAACTTTGCTCTTGTATTTTACGGTCCACTGTTAGCCTCCCTCCCAGGCTCCCCAACAAAAGACCTTACAAAAATCTAAGAACTTAAAAGAGGGCAGTGCATTTGTCCACTAAGCAAAATCAAATGTTAAACGTCTTTGGTTCTATTGATAAAATCCTTGAAGTTTATCCTGCAGGTCTGACAGCTGTCTTATTAACGTGGGAGAAGACAGCTATCATATCATGCTTTCTGTCACTGAAGTTCCACCTGGCCTAGGCAATTAGCGAAGCTGAATTCTTGTAGCTGGGAGAGGCCATCTGATGTGGCCACAGGGTATGACGGACAATTGCTCCCAAGTATCTGGGTTGCCTATTTAGCTTGTAAGGAGGGCCTTGAATTTTAATCAGTCTTTTGTCAAAGTTTATTTCCTTACGAAGTCTTTAAAAGTAATTCCTAGAATCTGTGGAATTATTTTCCCCCTTAAACCTTGTGCCTCCACCTGACAAGATTAAGAGGAAATCAATGGATTATTCCTGAATGAGTCCATTCTTCTTTAACAAAGAATTTCTTCACCAGAAACTGCCGCCTTGGACAGATCTTGATGCCTATGGGGTTGACCGGATTTGCAAAATTTTGCTGAACATCCTCTCTCAAACACAACTGAGCCAACTGCTAAAAACTTTAACAAGAAAAATAAATCTAGTGGAGATAAACTGAAAATTCTAGCCTGTTCCCCACTCCCGGCCAGCCAACTACCTCCATATGCTTTTTATCATATCTGTGTCCAGGGGAAGAATTCATATTTTCTTACATTGGTTTTTCTGAGGCTTCCTACAGTGTTCTTTCCTCCAAGCCACCGCCTGCGGTATTAAGGTAACTTCCCTAAAAAAAATTCAAATATCTTAAAAGGGAGCAAAGTTTCCAGCCACGGGCATGTGATTCACAGTTGAGCTTTAATTCAGCCGGCGTCACAAAATTGAAACCAGGACCAGCACTCAAAGTGACAAATCTCTAATCAGACAAGATGCTTCTGTAACTGTTTGCAAACTTTTCAGAGTCAGGAACCCATTTTACCTTCCACGTTGTATGCTTCGTACACACCAGTTCTGGAAAGCCTGCCCGCATGACGTCAGTGTAGACTCTGTGCTCTGCTGTCCCACGCCACACACCCCCCTCCTATTTCAACCCCAGAAAGGCACACAGCAAAGATGTTGAGGAGGAACCATGAATGGACAGGAATATCACACACACTCTGCTGTGTGCCTGCCCACCACACCCTGCCACGTGTGCATGGTCTGGTGGCCTCATGAACGTTCTACTTTTTGTGTTGTGGACACTCTTCTTCCTACCTGCCCAGCCCTGTCAAACAGCCTGAGCAGCCCAAGAAAATATATCAACATAAACTCATTCCACCCTCTGGTTGGGTCACGTTCTCGTTCCGATTGATAGTAGAGGCTGACAAATCCCCCAGCCTCCTACATGAACTCTCTTCCCGCCACATTAAAGGGAGAGCAAGTTACTGGTTGAAGGGGTGCACATCAAGGATGTGGGTGGGTCCACAGCCTGTACTCTCCAAGGCACAAACGAAAGGACTAAGAGAATAAGATGTATCCAGGTAGGAAGTAAGACCGCGACAGCTTATGACCACTAGCTGTGTGGCTTTAGGCTCTATCCTTCCTTAGACTTGGTTTTCATACATTCTAGGGCACACTTTTCTCATAGAATGAAAGCATGATTCACGTTTGATTCTGTGTGGAAACCTTGCATACTGCACACAAATGGACCCATGAATTCATTATGCATTAAATAATTTGGGTAATTGGTATTCTAGATGCTTTATATTATGTGGAAGTATTTGGTGGATTATTACAGAGGCTGGGGACATTTTGTTTTTCCATTTAAAATTATGAAATAGAGTTCCCGCTATCAAAAAATTCCATTATCCTACAGCTTTACAGAACCGATTAGGTTATATGGTGAAGGATGTCTGGATGCACAGGGTGTTTCGCATAGTGCTGGCTGCTTGGCTGCCAATAAATGGCAGCTAATACTACCAAAAGTTTGGTTTCAGGAGGTTACTTGGTACAAAGAATGGCTGTATTACATACTTGTTTAAACTCATTCACCTCTTTGGGTCTTGGTGTCAGCTCTGTCAACAGCTACCAATGCATGGACTTGTGTGGGCTACTTAGGGAACAGAAAAGGGCCGCCATGGTTTTGGAGGAGGAGCTTAATATCCACATTGAGGGTTGATCTTATTGGGACCCCTGCAACGCCTCTGTTTGCTAAGTTCTTGACTCCCCTGCAGTTGAGTTGAGGCAGGATTAAAGTCTCTGTGGCTTTGTGAAGAATGTGATTATGCTTTGCTTTGGAGATAAATGACATTTGTTTCTTCCTGACTCAGATGATACATACCAGATGTTACACAGCAAACGTGGAATTAGAAACCCAAAACTTCAGAGAAGACTAGATTAAAAGATATTGTAGTAAATTGTCCCCACAGTGGGACAAATCCCTCTGGGACTCAGGACAGGCATTCCCCAATGCCTTCACTCTGAAGCTGTTGTTGCTGTGTCATGGGGCTGCTTCTCAGATACTGTGAGAGTTCTCAGGAGCTGCCCACTGTCTCTGAAGAAAGGTGGCTTCTGTCTTGCTGACAGAGCTCTCCATCCATAATTCCTGTGTCTTTTTCTCACTGTCCCACAGTGTTAACCCCAAACCCTTATGGCATGTAAACATCTCAGATTACAGGTTTCACACATCTGTCTGTGGTTTGTGAAACAAATAAGTTGTCATAGTATAGGGGAGGTAAGACTTTTCCTCTATCCTCTTAAGTTCTGTGGCTGGGGCCTGTGAACTAAACTGAACTAAACTGACAAAAGGCAAGTTGACAGGAGAAAAAAACACACAAATTTATATGATGTTAATATTTTTATTTGGCATTGAGGGCTTCATAGAAAAAGTAAAAACTCCAAAGAAGCAGCTAGACCCAGGGGCTTATGTACAATTTTATCAAAGAGCAATAAATTGTGGAGATGTGGCAAGAATAAGAAGAAAGGAGTTTAGGCTGGGATGGTAAATTGTTGGAAAGTGACCAGGAAATATATGAGGGATACTAATAGATGATAAGGATTGTTTTAGTAAGGTTTGTTTGTACGGATTCATCTTGGGATTAACTCCCTGTTTCCAATGATAAGAATGTTCTCCTCTTGCCGGTACAGTGAGGATACCTTTCTCGTGGGAAATTTATGCCTTGCTTTTAGGTAGAAAAGGGGAGGACAGAGAGCCCTTCCTGCACTTGCTGTTTCTCAATTGTCTTCGGCTCAAAATAATCAATGTGCCAAAGTGGCGTATTTGGCGGTGGCAAGTTCTGGTTCTCTTGAACTAAAACATGTTTTAGCAATTCTCCTAGGCTGGATAGAAGAGGGACAGATGGCACTTGTTCATTGAGTTTGAGCTGTATGCTGAGAGTAGAACTGTATACAAAGCAGGCACAACCCAGCCTGAATGGGCCACATTTTCTCATGGGGGGGAGAGAAAATAAGTAAACAAAGTAATTTTAGAATATTAGTGCCATGATGAAATTTTTTTTTTTTTTTTTTTTTTGAGACAGTCTCACTCTTTTGCCTGGGCTAGAGTGAGTGCCGTGGCGTCAGCCTAGCTCACAGCAACCTCACACTCCTGGGCTCAAGCGATCCTTCTGCCTCAGCCTCCCGAGTAGCTGGGACTACATGCATGCACCACCATGCCTGGCTAATTTTTTTTCTATATATTTTTTTTAGTTGTCTGATTAATTTCTTTCTATTTTTAGTAGAGACGGGGTCTCGCTCTTGCTCAGGCTGGTTTCAAACTCCTGAGCTCAAACAATCCGCCCGCCTCGGCCTCCCAGAGAGCTAGGATTACAGGCATGAGCCACCGCGCCCGTCCTCATGATGAAAATTTAAAAATGGTGTGTTCTAGAGCTGTACTGTCCAACACAGTAGCCACTAGCTGCATGGAGCTCTTGGGCACTTGATACATGACTCATCCAAATTGAGATGTGCTGGTAACTATAAAATACACACCAGATTTTGAAGCTTTCATTCAACAAAAAATAATAAGATATCTAATTAGTAATTTTTTAAAGAAAATGATTTTATCTTGAATATATAAGGTCAAATCAAATATTATTAAAATTAATTTCACCTTTTTTTTTTTTTTTACTTTTTGCCACTACACCCAGCTCATTAAAAAAACAATAATTTGTAGAGAGAAGGTCTCACTGTGTTGCCGAGGCTGGGCTTGAATTCCTGGCCTCAAGCAATCCTCCTGCCTTGGCCTCCCAAAGTGCTGTGATTGCAGACAGGAGCCACTGCACCCAGCATTGATTTAACTTTAAAGGCCAAAGAGTCAGCTGGTTTTATGCAAGGCAGCAAATCAACAATTTGTGCCAACTGTAGCTGAGACAGAAGAACCACTGGTAACGGAATAGGATTCCCTAGTAGGGCATCATTGTTATGTAGAAGTCCAACCATGACACTCTTAGCCAAATCTGGCTATTGGGCTTGCCTACTTTTCCCTTCTATTCCTCAAATAATAAGCAATGGAGACTCTGTGATCATTAGTGTTCTGGGACTATTTGCTAAACTCTGTGTATGTTTTTTTATTGTTGTTTTCACAGTGCTTTGAACCAGATGCACTGTTACTAATAGCTGGTGGAAATTTTGAAGATCAGCTTAGGGAGGAAGTGGTCCAGAGAGTTTCTCTTCTCCTCCTCTATTACATTATTCATCAAGAAGAAATCTGTTCTTCAAAGCTCAACATGAGTAATAAAGAATATAAATTTTACCTACACAGCCTACTGAGCCTCAGGCAGGATGAAGACGCCTATTTCCTTTCACAGAATGAGACAGAAGATATCTTGGCTCTCACCAGGCACTACTTTGACACTTCTAGGAGCCAGGTAAGAAGTGCAAAATTATAAGATCTAGCCTCAGCATCTTAATTTTTTTTTCCTCATTTCATCCTCGTATTTTCATCCAAGTATTTGTGGTTTTTAGTGATGGGCTGTTGAGTGATATAATTGAAAATTTTGAGTCCAAAAGTGGAAATGTAATGACTAATTGGAAGATGAGTTTTAGCCAGAAGGTAAGTGGGTGAACAGGCAGTCCAGGTGACAGGGCAGCTCCCTTCTCCTGCATCCCCTGGAGTTCTCAAATAAGTGATTCAAGGCTTTCTGATGAATCTCCAAGGACTGGCTGAGCTGTAGTGGTAGAAGGCAATGTGTCTGTTGGCCTTGCCTTCTGGCCAGGGAGGAAGGCACTAATGATCAATTCATCTCTCTCAAAGTGATGAGAGATAAATTTATCATGTGTTATTTCACTGAAGGAGCAGCTTGCAAACAGCATTCGTTATGACTGTCAGCACCAGACAATATCCCTTCTGTGGCTTTTAATTTGTGTCGTGTGTGTACAGGTTTCATGCAAATGCTTCTCCTCTTTGCCAGCTCCACCTGGTCTCTGTTGCTTTCGTTACTATTCCAGCAAAAGTTGGTCTTTCAGTTAGATTCTTGTTGTCTGCTTAGCAGTGGGAAGTTGCAGCAGATAAAGTTCCCTGAGCATAAAGTTTATTTAAGCCATGTTTTCTCGAAAAATTAAATGAGAAGCCATGACCACGTTTTGAGGAGTGTGGTAAACCCTGTTTTTTTCTTCTTGAAGTTTTCATTGACGCGTATAGACAAATTTCATTCTTGGTCTCAATTCTGGCTCCTGGGAGCCCAAAGGTATCTGCAATCATGCTGCAGCTTAATGACCAGCAAACACATGCTTCGATTTGCTGTCAATATGTTTAATCTCTAACATTATCGGCAGAGCAAATGGAAAGGCTGTTTGCTAAGGACTTTGTGAATGTCGCATCCATAGCTCTAATCCTGTCAATTTCAAAATAGGGCCATGTTTGTGTTCCTAGTTTTGTTTTCAAAAAAGGTGGTCCTTTACAGAATTTGGTTTTCTGCTTGAATCAGGAAGTGCGCCTTCCTGTAATTTATTGAGTGCAAAATCCATCTAATACAAGGTTGATTCAAACGAACTACTTAGGATTTTAGTCATTCTACCTGTTACTGCCTTTTGATTCAGATGAAATGGAAAGTCAGCACTTCAAAGCAGACGGTGTGTATATATCCAGGTGTCTGGTTGTCCTACACATACTGCAAATACCCAGGCTTCTGAGTGTGTGTGAGATAAAACATTCCTTGACCAGAATAAAATAATTTGAGATTATGTATAGAACCACTTTATCTAGCTATTTAGTCATTGAGAGTTGAACTGCTGAGTCATAACCCTTCGCTAGGCCTGAGACCAATAATCTCCTAGATGACACCACTGGCTCTAGTTCCTGGGAAGGGTCTGTGATCCCACGCACCGGGCTAGGGTTCCTCAGGAAGTCAGTCAATCCAGACTTTGCAGGTGGCTTTTGGACCCTCGCTGCAGGCAGTTGCTCCTTCTGACCAGGTGGGGTGTGGTCATGAGGGGGTGCGGGCTCCCTTGGCCCAACATTTTCTAGTTTTACTACACACAGGACCTACTTCCATAGGTGAAGCCACTGACAGCAACTCCAGATTGGCCCCAGCTCACTCCCCAAGAGAAACCACTTCACACCACAGTACTCTAATCCAGCCAACCTCCCTAACAGTCTGGAATGGAACATCCCTTTATTCTTTCATCCTTTTTTGTCCAAACCACTGCATGTTCTATCTTCCCAACTCAATCTCTTAATGTTGCCACCTCTTCATTTCTCTCCACCGTTTGCTGTTTCCATGACACGGCGCTCCCCAGCCCTGCCTCTCTCGTGTAGGAGGGGTATTCCTCATGCCACACCCAGAGGACTTCAGGGATGGCAACACTGGTTGGAATTCTCCTTTATCCTGATGGCACTCTGAGACTGTTAAGTCTTTCACAACCTCCGTGGGATACTCATGCTGCTAGGAGGTTCATGCTCTCTGTTCTTTCAACTTGTTTTCACCCATGAAGCTTCTGGCTACTTCTCCAGACTTATCAAAATTTTGGTAACTGACTTTCAGCCTTCCACTCTACTTCACACCACAGTTATTAGTATCAATGTGATCCTGCCATGCTCCCCAATGACAGATTAGAAAGAAAATCCAACGAGCACTTTTTACTCCCTGTCATAAGAATGCAACCTTGACACAAGAACCTTCCCTCGATTCCCCTTTTGATGGATTTTTCTCCCTCCTTTCCTATGTAATGGGCTTAGTGGAGTGCCTGGCACGTAGTAGGCACTCAAATGTTTATATAAATGAATGGGAATATTAATGGGATGTAAGGCAAAAACAAGCTTTTCAGATGCTCATAATTTAATGGAGGAAAATTGATCTACACATATGAAGTCATGTGTTCTCCGGGAGTTCAAAGAACGCAGCACTGTGCTAGCTTTGATTTGCAGTGAGCACACAGCACATTGAACTTGAGAGTACAGGCAGATGTGAAGTGGGGGTGCCCTTCGCAGAGCCTGTGTGGAGTCCAGGTAGGGAACACAGATTTGACTTGAAGCTGGGAGAGAAACAGTTCACCAGTTGAAAGGATGTTAAGCAGTGAGAGCAGGAGATGCCCTTGGAGAAAACACATCTTTAAGAGAATAGAAAGGTTGGGTTAATGAGGACCAATGGGTGGGGGTAAGAAAATTGAGTGTCACCGCAGATAAAAAAGAAACAACTATTTTCCAAAGAGAGTTGTGTCTGAAACAGGAGAATGATGATAGTCATATTCCCACAAACAGTTTCATTTTCTTTTAGGCGAACTCTTCCTTATCTTTTGGGGAAATCCTAGAGATGCTTTCATCAGAAAGACTTTAGAAGTTAAATTTTTCTCTTGACTTTGTATCTGATTTCAGTGTATGGAAACCAAAACATTGCAGAAAAAGTCTGGAATACTAAGCAGCAATGGTGCTGATGAAAATACCCTGCCTCAGCTGGCGGCGACAATCATAGCTTTGTCCCTCCAAGGTGTTTGTCTGGGACTAAGAAACTTGCCTTCACCAGACTATTTTACGGAATACATTTTCGGTTTTTTGAATAGTACAAATACTCTCCATCTATCAGGTAAGGATGTTTTTCACAAATTAAACTTTCAAGCCACACCTACTAAATAAACTATGTCAAATACAACAGCTGAAGTTTGGATGACTACATTTGTTCAGGTATGTTTTAAACACCATTTTTTCTCGGCATATACTCAGGCAGCTCAGGGCGCCTTGCTTGCAAGGCAAATGTGCTGTTATATCTGTGTGATGATGAGGGACAAAAACATGAACTTGGTCCATTTCTGCAGCAAATGAAATTATGGATGTAGAACCAAAGGGAGAGATTTTATGGTCCGCCATGAGTACCAACAGAATACTTTCCTCGTTGGGACATGATGCTGGGCCAGGTGTGACAAAGTGTTGTGTAGAATGATGACATAGTGTTCCAAATAGTGTAAAATGTTTGGTAGCAGTTTCCTTGTAATCATAAAGGTTAAGTCATTTAATTTTAAATGAAAGTAACGTGAAATGTCCGTCTTTGCTACATTCCTGACTATCAGCTTTTTGGGGCTCCAAGATCAAATGGGATGTCAGGAACGGAATTAGATGTTTGTTTTGCACATTTCTTTGTATTTGACAAGGCATTTAAAGTGAAATGCCTAATTTTTAAAATCTGCATCAAAATATCCTGAGGCAGATTTTTTTTTTTAAAAAATCACCTCATTACTAATATCACGATTATAAAAGGTTTCCTTAATATCATAAAAACTTAATTTTCACATTTTCCTGATTTTTTTAGAAAGTTTTTATTTTTTAATTGAATCAGGATCCCAATAAGATATATAAAATACAAATTGTTGGTAGGTCTTTTAAGTTTCTTTTATAGGTGTCATGGTTCCTCCTCTATTTTGTTGCAAAT